AAAATATGATTATTATGAAGGTAATGGATTGTACATGCTAATAATAATTAAATTGGTATGATCAAAAAGATACATGGAGGCACAACAGAAACAGATATAGTGAAGATGGTTGAAAAGGCAGAAACACTTGCATCAATTAACATGACAAAATATGGGATTGATACAGTGCTGTTTTTTGATGAAGCTAACACAAGTGATGCTCTTGGCCTGATCAAAGAAGTGATGTGTGATAGAAGAATTAATGGCAGACAAATTGTAAATAATGTCAAGTTTATTGCTGCTTGTAATCCATACAGAAAGTAAGCATCACTTATCATATCTAATTATAGCCTTTAAAAATTTTGTAGACACACAAATTTAATGATAAACAAACTCGAATCAGCTGGTCTGGGCTTCTTTGTAAAAGCTAGTGAAACACAGCAAAAATTGGGTAAAAATTATTTGAATTATATGCAATATTATATCATTTATGTATGCTTTGTAGGTAAAATTCCATTGAGACAATTAGTGTATAGAGTACTTGATTTACCTCCTAGTATGAGACCACTAGTATATGACTTTGGACAATTAAATTTTAATACTGAAAAAGACTACATATTCCAAATAGTAAAAAATAGGTGTCTCTATATACCTCAAGTTACTGAAAAAAGTGATGTAATTCAGGCAGTTACTGATATATTAGTATGGTCTCAAAACCACATGAGAGAAAAAAATGTAGTCTAATCAAATATTTTATTCTAAAATTACATACTTTGCTTTAGGATGAATGCAGTTTTGTCAGTTTAAGAGATGTTGAGAGGGCAATGATTGTTTTCAGTTATTTTTGTCAGAAAAAAGATATTTTCATAAATAAAGTTGCAGAAAAAGCTGAGAAAGAGGTACATATAATATTGTGTTAATTTGAAGTTATCAATTTTGTAGCAAAAACACCCAGTTGATGATATTACACGTTCATTGATTCTAGCAGTCAGTGTTTGTTTTCATGCTAGACTTACAAACAGAGCAGTGTTTGAAGAAGGTGTTGCAAAGCAGTTTAAGGCTCCACTTACACTAGCTGGAAGAGATCAATTTTGTAATGAGATCAGATGGTAATGAGACACTTTATTTATCACTTCATTGATAAGAATGCCACAGGTGTCAAGATATTTTGCTCGATAATATGAAGCTTGGTGAAAACATTGCAAGAAATGCAGCACTGAGAGAAAATATATTCATGATGGTTATTTGTATTGAATTAAGGATACCTTTATTCCTTGTTGGTAAACCTGGCAGTTCAAAATCTCTAGCTAAGTCTATTGTTTCTACTTCTATGTTGGGGAGAGCATCTGAAAAAGAATTGATGAAAGAAATGAAAGCGGTATAGTATCAACTTGTCAGATATTTTTTAATGATCAGTCACAGGTCCAAATGTTTTCTTATCAGTGTAGTCAATTATCTACCCCTGAAAGTGTCATTGAAGTTTTTGAGGTAGCTAAAAGTTTTCAAACAGAAGAGCAAGATGTAGGCAGTTACGTTTCAGTTGTGGTACTGGATGAAGTAGGATTAGCTGAAGATTCTCCAAATCTTCCATTAAAAGCCTTACATCCATTGCTAGAAGATGGGACTGAAGGTGCAGATAGCTCACTACAGGTAAGTCTATAAGTGTTGTTGTTCACCTTATCCAAACCATTTCCTTTAGATTGTGTCACGTGAACAACGTGTAGCTTTCATTGGTATATCTAACTGGGCACTAGATCCTGCTAAAATGAATAGAGGAGTCATGGTGACTAGGGGTGATCCTGATGAAACAGAATTAGAACTGTCTGCAAGGTGACTCATTGCTTTTATCGTAAAT